AAGGCGTTCACGGGGGGTATGGTCGTGCAGAACATGCTGGACTGTGTTCCATCTGGGCTGCATTAAGAAGTGGTCAACAAACGAGGGTTCGGCTGCAGCGCGACAGCAGACTCAAGATGGGGAGACGCCTCCTCCGAGGCAGTGGCGCTGCCCCGGCTGCAACCTACCAAAGGACATTCTACCCAAGAACTTTCACTGTTGGTGCGAGAAGGAGCTGGATCCGCGCTCAACACCCGGTCTACCACCATTTTCGTGTGGTCAGACTTGCTCACGACCCCGACTTCTCCCCAAGCCCTGTCCACACCCTTGCGGCTCGACGTGTCATGCCGGCCCCTGTCCTCCGTGTGGCTTGATGGGTCCCACGCAACACTGCTTCTGTGGGAAGAGGTCTGTCACTCGCCGATGTATTGACACCGATTATGAGAACGGCTGGAGCTGCGGCGATGTCTGTGGAGGATTGATGTCTTGTGGTGAGCACAGATGCGATCGACCTTGTCACGACGGTCCTTGCGGTGCCTGCGAGGTACGAGTGCCGGCACGTTGCTATTGCGGACAGATACAAAAAGACATTCTATGTCATGACCGGGCAGAAGAGAAGCAGAGCAGCCAGTCCCATGTCGCCGCAGACGGTGCTGCCACAGTAGAGACCTGGATAGGATCTTTCCAGTGCCCTAATCAGTGCGGACGCTCATTCGATTGCGGGAAGCACATTTGTGAGATGGCATGCCATTCACAGGACACGCAAGCGCCTCATTGTCCGCGATCTCCAGACCGAGTCAACCGCTGTCCTTGTGGCAAGACCGCTTTGAGAGACATGTCTGGCAACCCACGCACGACCTGCGAAGATCCGATCCCCAATTGCGACAAACCTTGTGGTCAAACACTCGCATGTGGTCACCAGTGCGAGCAGCTCTGTCACCAAGGCGAATGTCGGCCTTGCTTGAAGACGGTGGATATATCATGTAGGTGTGGACGCACATCATCCAGGACCATCTGCCACCAAGGCATGGACGAGCCTCCCCAGTGCAGGCGTATCTGCAAAGTTTCGTTGAACTGCGGGCGCCATGAGTGCGGCGAGCACTGCTGCGCTGGAGAGAAGAAAGCTGCGGAACGTCAGTCGAACCGCCGTAAAGGAAGGCCTTTGAATTCGGCTCCTCGTCAGGCTCACGAGAACTTTGAGGCCGAGCACATATGCACGCGGAGCTGTGGTCGACAATTGAAGTGCGGCAACCCCGAACATCGCTGCCAGGAACTTTGTCACAAGGGTCCGTGTGGCACATGTCGCGATGCCATTTTCGATGAGCTTAGCTGTCACTGTGGACGGACTGTGCTACAACCACCATTACCATGCGGTACAAAACCCCCACCGTGTCGCTTCAAGTGCGAGCGACCTAAGGACTGCGGTCATCCTCAACTGGACCACAGTTGCCACCTGGATGACCAGCCATGTCCGAAGTGCGCTTTCCTGACCGCCAAGCCATGTCTATGTGGCAAGAGTGTTCTCAAAAACCAGCCATGTTGGCTGACCGAGGTACGCTGTGGCCAAGTCTGCGGACGTACGCTCAAGTGTGGCACACACAAGTGTCAGAAGCAATGCCATCGACCTGGAGAGTGCGAAGAGCCATGTACCCAAGCATGTGGCAAAGAGCTTAGCACCTGTGGTCATCCGTGTTTGGCACCCTGTCACTTCCCTCAACCCTGCAAAGAAGAGAAACCGTGTCCCCACAAGATCTTCGTTACTTGCGAGTGCCAGAGGATTAAGCAAGAGGCCAAATGCAATGCTTCGCGCAACGGAGATGGCAACCAGAAGAAGGTGCTCAAGTGCGACGAAGAGTGCGCAAGGTTAGAGCGTAATCGTGTTCTAGCACTTGCACTCAACGTTGATCCGGAGCACCAGAATGACCACATTCCATACTCAGACGCCACACTGAACATGTACCAGCAAAATTCTACCTGGGCAGCGACTCAGGAGAAGCAGCTTAGACTTTTCGCTGCCGACCCAGATGAGAAGCGTCTTCGATTCAAGCCAATGCCCCGTAGTCAGCGCGCCTTCATCCACCACCTGGCCGAAGACTTTGGCATGGACTCAGAGAGCATGGATCCAGAACCACATCGACATGTGGCCATCTTCAAGACCCCCAAGTTCGTCATGGCCCCAATGCGGACACTAGCAGACTGCGCCAGAACTCGTCAAGTTCAACAACGTCTTGCGCCAGCGCCGGCACCAGCAGCGTCCTCCACTGCCACGTTACGCCCCAAGCCCAGCAACACCAATGGCGACCCCTATAACGCGTTCCTCATCCTGAACCCTCGCTTTGCGCTCACTATCGAAGAGCTCAACCCCATCATCAAGAGCGTACTCGCAACGACATCGTTCCGATGCGAGCTAGAGGTCACCTTCCTTCCCAGCGAAGCCGTAGCTTTGAAGCCACCTCTAGCAGCTCGGCTCAGCATTCCAGAACGCGAAATGCAGACCATGCTCGAATCGATCCAAGCACCGCTAACCAAAGCTCTCATCACGCAAAACATCGGCAAAAGCATGCAGCTTGCGCGTCTCGACTCCTCACTCAACATCCTGCGCAAAGAGTCTGATGTAGGCCCTGGTTCAGGCTGGAGCGAAGTGGCAGCCTCGAGGGGTGTCCCAAATCGCCAGCTTCCGAAGACTACTTCCTTCGGCAACAAGGGCGGGTTTGCAGTGCTCAGCTTGAGTAGCAAGAAGAAGAAACAGAAGGAGGTACCTGTTGAGGTTGCGGAGAGCTGGGAGGAGGCTGAGGAGGAGGAAGAGCAGAAGGAGAAGGTTAGTGGGGCTAACAGCGCTGTCATGAGCGAGGATGAAGGTGCGTCCAAGGATGTGCCTGAGGCCTCGGGCAGTACGCCGGCTAGCGACGAGAATCATGTCGCGCCGAAAGACGATGCTGAGCTCGACACTAAGCCACTACCGGGACGTTGGTCGGATCTGGATGATGAGTAGACTAGCATCTGCGTGTGTAAAACTAGATACCGACGACAGACTATAATAGTACCAAACAGCTTTCTCATAGTCATGATCTACAGCAACTGTGAAGATAGAAGAAGACGAGCCACTTTGTTTTTTCTTTGTCCAAACTGTTCGCAGCTCTAAAGGGTATGTGAGTCACGGTATCAAAACTCTTTTGTTGAATCGTCATAACAACCAACAAACCAACCAGTCAAAAACGCCTAACATATGCAGCCCACAACTCCATCTCCCAAGAGCTTTCCCAGCCACTTCCGCGAAGCGCGCAAACTCAGAAGTTATTCTGCTCCCTCTGCTGCCTCTCCGCCTCACCCTCGCTAACGATCCTTTTACCCAGCCACTCCGTCTGGAAGCTCTCATTCAGTTTCGACAGATCCTGGATGACCAGCCGGCAAGTCGCCATGACAGCTTCCTTGGGTGTAATAGACCCGTCGGTTTGGACGCGCAGTTCAAACGTGGCGAAGAGCGGGTGGGGCACTTTGTAGGCGGCGAACATGACGGCGGGGTTCTTGAGGAGCCGCTGCGCGAGGAGGTTGCCGAGTGTGTGGTCTTCTTTGTTGAAGGTGAAGACGGCCGTGTTGGGGACGCCTGTGCGAGGATTGTTAGTCGGTGGGTAGAAGGGGGGAGGGAGTGTACATAAAAGGGATGAGGTGGGGTGCTACGTACGTGTCTCTGCCTTTTCCTCGACTTTCTGCTGGCCTTCGTCTAGCAGGAAGAGCTCGAATCTGTTCTCGTAGTCGTGGTCAGCTTTGTGCGTTACATGTCGGTTGTCTTTTGAGCTGTCGCGCAGTGCACAGTTTGGGTTTTGCTCAATCAGTTGGCCGATCTTCGGGGAGAAAGACGTGCTTGGGTTGTCGCTCATTGGTTGGGGGTATCGAGGGTCTCGTTCGTTGGGGCGTGGGCGTGGTAGAGTCGTGACTTTCGTTGTGTCGCATGCTCTTGCTATCGGGGGTGTATATATGCGGCGCAGCGCGCTCTCGTGGTCACGCGGTAGTGTCGTGCGCCCATAGGAATGTGCGTCATTTCGTTGTTTTCACGCGCTCGTGGTGGAAGCAGCGAACGCGCCGTGTAGGTTCGTCGTCACCGTGGTGTTGAACTGACATCGTCGACTGTGGACTGCGCGTACAGAGATACTGTGTTGAAGAGGATGAACTGCAAAAGATGAAGCATACCTGTCTGGCGCGTTCATTTTGCCGGGTCTTTCTCCTCTCTATGCCTATCTACTCTTGTCCGTATGTATGAATACGCCTATTGCGATCGCAAGTGAGGAAGGTGCGCGACGGCTGTAGCAGTGGGGAAACCCAAAAACCAACGAAAGAATCAGCGCTCGGTTGGTTCGAGTCGGAGGAGCTGTGGCAAGATTGCGATGGCGTGTGGTGGCCGCTGGGGAAGATTGCGGAGGTGAGGTTGACTTCCGCGCTCGACGTTCTTTGTGCCTTCACCCACCGCCTTCAGCTGCCTCGCGCAGCTTAGTCAACATGTGGTCCGGGCCCACATCAGCTTCTCCATCGCTACATTCCACGTCGACTGCCGAGCACCGATCTTCGACAATTCAGTCTCCAACCGTTTTTGCAGACCTTAGAAACCTACTGGAATATATACCAATGGCAGGTCCTGCGGCTTAGCCACACAGTCCACAAGTCGCCTCAGTACACGGCAAGGGACGCGATTCAAAGATGTTTGTATCTCGATGTTATGCTCGAGTTGCATGATATTCAGACAGCTACATATTGCTTCGGAGGCCCATCACCAAGACATGATGGGTGTCGCTGGCAAAAGCGACACAAAGAGTTTTCCCCTAATACAAACCACTGCCTTGAGCGACTGCGTGAGCGCCATTCAACGCCACAAACACCATGCTTCTCATGGGTACGCCCACACATCGCAAAAAAAAAACCAGACTTTCCCACGCTAGAAGAACAACGCTAAGCAGGAACATTAAAATTATATACGAGCCAAGGGTGACGGGGCCTCGCAGAGGCGCTCTCTTTGCCAATCAGATTCCTTAAGACCGGTTAATCTGTGCTTGCTGCATACCGGGACTTTGTTGCATCTGTGGATTCTGAGGCGTGGCGCTCCGACTAGGTGGTCGGGCGTTCAATCCAGGACTGCCAGCCTGCTGTCTTGCCATCAGCCGTTGTTGTTGGACCAATTGGGCCTGATAATTCTGTACCGCGTTTGTTTGAGGAGCGTTGGCCATGCTACCGTTCTGCTGGAAATACTGATTATTCGCCATTTGCGGAGAAGGAGATATGCCAGGCGATCCAGCTGCTGCGCTCATTGCCTGCTGACTCAATGATGCCTGCGTACGTTGCTTAGCCAGGTAACGGTTGAGGTGGTCGGAGGCCTGTTTCGAAACTTGTTCTGGTGTCCATTCCGGATGTTGTCCCTTGATCTGGTTCTGGAAAGCTAGGAGCTGAGGCATGTGCCCACTCGATAGGGGGCGGGACGGTGTTTGCATGTTACCATTGCCCTGGCTCATTCGTGGGGATCCAGCGGTGTTTGCCATCCCATTCATGGAGTTGTTCATGTTCCCGTTCATTCCACCGTTCTGATTGGAAACGGGTGTCATCATGTTCGCATTAGGAATACCGTTCATTCCCATCCCTTGGGTGAGATTGCTAGCCATGTTGATCTGTTGCTGTTGGAGTTGGAACTGGTGTTGTTGCGTAGCGTTAAATTGGCCTCTTTGCATGGCCATGCGCATCTGGTCCGGCGGTCCCATACGCTGGGTGTTCTGCATGTTGCCTTGCATTTGTGCTTGGGGAACGCCCGGTGTGCCCATCGACATGCCAGACATGTTGCCGTTAGCAAAATTAGCTTGCATTCCCTGTTGAGATTGGTGTGCGCGGGCCGCCATTGCCGGGCCATTCTGCCCCTGTTGCAGAGACGCATTAGCCATTTGCGGAGGAACATTGTTTGTGCCCCCGGGTGTCCCGTTACGTTGCATCTGGTTCACACCATTCGCCATTCCTGGTTGCACCTGTATTTGGGCCTGCTGCCGCGCCATCATTTGTTGCTGTTCTCCGTCAGTGGTGTACTCATCGTGTAGGGACATGATTCTTACCCTAGCCATCATCTCCTGCGCAATGTGCCTTTGCTTCATTTTCTCTTCGCGTTCCCACTTCATACGACTAAACTCTTGTGGCGTTAGGGTTGTCTGTTTGGGTGGCGCAGGCTCATGTGCTTTTCGAAGCGCAGCGGCTTTCTGAGACTCCGCTTGCTTGTGGGCAGCAGACTCGCGCTTTCTGGCCAGCTTACGCATGCCATCGATGATAGCGAGATGTCTGTTTTCTCGCCTTCTTTCTACTCGTATTGGCGTAGTCGTGGGTCTTCTGCGCGGTTGACCTGGGGTCTGGCCTTGTTGCTGTTGCTGCTGCTGTTGAGCCTGGAACTGAGCGAAAACGGTCTTGTTGGCTTGCTCCAGTCGGCTTTGGTAGGTGCGGAAGTACTGTGTCTTGGACATCTCCGCCGGAAGACCTTCAAGCTGCACCCAGCGTTCAAAGCATTCCCATGGCGTTCGTCGACCGGATCCGGACACGAACATCGAAGGTAACGAAAGCTGCTGAGAGACCAGGGACCAGTTGAATGTATACTCTTTCACCAACGCCCGTAGCTTTTGGTCTTCTTCCCACAGCCACTGAGAGGGCGTGCGGTTTTCGAAGAAGGCAATAGTGGGCATGTTGAACTCTGTAGGTGGTCTGAATTGATGGGCAGCCTGAAGTCGGTCGCGAACATGCTTGTTCTCCGCGTTGAACAAGGCGACATTGGTCATTTCCGGCGGTAAGTCGTTGCGACAGAATAGGCGTCGACCTGGTGTGGATGGCATTGAATGTTCGGCTGACGTACCAGATCGACTAGGCGGCGAAGACGGCTCGTCTTCAGAGTCATAGTCATACCTGCTACGCTTCTTGGGTGGCCCTCGTATTTGCGAGACCAGCTTTCCAGTGACGAACTTGGAAACGGGAAGGATGGGTGGCTCTGAGAGAGAGAACGGGTTGGTGTCGCTGGAGCCCTCGAACATCGGGTCGTAAAGAGGCAGTTCCCGGAACATAGTATCACTGGCAGGTGTGCGGTCGATCTTCATGACCACGTCGTTGAAGCCTAGTGAGAATAGACCTGTAGGGGGGCTGGCGTTGACGGGAGTAAGTACATCGTCCTCATCACCGTATGACTCACTCTCCGTCTCGTGCGTACTCGAGTGGACAAGCTCTGGCGTAGGAGCATCATTCATCTCCTCGTCGTTGCTCGCACGCCTAGCCGACTTTGGAATGCATGCATTGACCCGTAGCGTTGATCGTTCTTCAGGTGTACTGGCCACGTACTCGGCACACCATTCCGCAAAAGTAGCGGCAAGTGCTTTCTTCCATTTCCTCTCTTCCTTGAAGTCTGTGTGCATCCACTTCATGTCGAGAAGCACTTGATCCTGGTGGGTAAATGGACGCTCAGGTTCGACGGCTTTCTGGAGTTGCCTCAAGGACCATCGGTTGGCATTCTGCAACTGGTACACTCTCTTCAAAATCTTGTAGTCTTGATGTTCACGAATCATCGCAAGCGTACCAGCCGTCGACACCGTCTTCCTTGCAGATGCTACAAGTTCCTGCAGAGGTACAGACCTAGGCGGGTGGTGAGCCTGGTACTTGAAAAGACCCTCTAGATAATCTCGGCTCGAATCTTCCGAAGCACCTTGGAGCGACGCATAATCTTCGTTGTACGATTGCAGGGCTTTCGATGCCCGTGTCGGTGTCTTCTTGGCGAATACGACGGTCGAGACTTCTTGTGACTTATTGCGAGCTGTTCTTGGTCTTGGAGGACTTGTAGATGCCGAATGATTACTTGAGCGGGGGGTTGGTATGGCTTTCGGTCCTGCCTTCTCAGCTATAATTTCAGAGACAGATTTCTGTCGTATTGCTCCAGAGGCGACGCGGGTAGTCATACGCCCGGGACGGGATGTTGGATGTTGGGGCGAGGTCGTTGTTTGTGCATCCAGGGATGGTACGTCGCGCATTTCAATATCGATGTCAGCGGGAGGTGTGGGATGGTCGGCGGTAGGAGAGGCCTGTTGGTGGTCGATGGCTTGGTCGGCATTGTCGCGGTCCACAGTCGAAGGCTCCGCGGCAACGGTCGTTGGAGTTGGTAAAGAGTCAATGGCAACATCATGAACAGTCTTTGTTCCGATCGAGTCTTCTTCTTCTGTTTTTGCCGCACGGTAACCGCCGTCCACACCCTCCGTCAACGAATGTACGTCCCCGGAGGGCTGGGACTCGCTCAGACGACTCTTCCCATCGCGCGCCAACCGTATCGCCTGTTCGTCTTCGATCTGTTGCTCGATGTCTGGTGTAGGGGAGTCATCTTCTCTTGCTCGGGCGTTCTCTCTTGCTTCTTTCATTCGTTTGTGCAGAGCACGCTCGTGGTCATCTTTAACTTGCTGCGCGGCGGGGTCGAGGACATCGTCGTTTGGCAACGGGACGTTGTTGCGCTCCCTGTAAGTCTCCGAATCAGGACTGGTATCAGGCGAATGGTGTTGCGCGTGCGGTGTTGCTTGGGAGTAGGGCCCGACGGTCGATGACGGGGAAGAAACGTCGACGGGCGCATTCGTGGGTGGGATGGTAAGCCGTTCCTCTTCTCTTCGCTCCTTCTCGGCAGCTTTGTCCAATTTTCGCTCCGTCTCCTGCAGTCTGGCCTCTTGAATTTCTTTTGGTGGTAGATGAACGACTTGTGGTGGCTTCGGTTTGGCGTCCGTGGTGGCACTCGACGAAGATCCGTCGGGGAGGGTAGCAGCATTCGTGTCGTCGGCCGTCGGGGATGCAACAGCACTTGGGTCGACCGTAGTTTTGTCGCGAGGGGAATGTTCTTGATTGCCTGGAGCCTGGACAGCAAGGGTCGCGTCGGGTTGGGCATTGTTTGCTACCTCATCTTCTGTAGTGGGCGATGCAGCATGTGAGGCAGCCTTTACGCGGGGGACAACGTGGATAACGTCGCTTTGTAATGACGATTCGACTGAAGGTAAGGTTTGCGTCGCAACGGACGGCGAAGCTGAGGCGGCACGAAGTTGCTCTTCGAGGCTTGGGGTGCCGACGACGGGGGATGGCGACGGCTTGGTGAAGGTCTTGGTTGGATTCTGAAAGGGTAGGGTAGCAGGGAGTGGTGGCTGATGGTCAGTATCGGCCACTGGGAAGGGCAGCGTTGCATCGTTGAAGCGTCGACCTCTAGAGACGCGACCGTGTTAGCAGAGTGGAACGACGACAACGTGAACATTGGCGACGAGTAGGTGCATGGTACTAGGGACAGGAGGCATCTTACTGTGAGATGTCGTTTTGGTCGAGAAAACGACGTTCCTCTTCGTCAGGTTCGCCATAGACGAAGTCGTCTGCTACGGGCTGGTGGCCGTTCAGAGCGGCATTGCAGCAGCCCGTGACCTTCCAGAGTGCCCGGAGATGGCGCTCCAACGTCGCGGATGTGAATCTGGGGACATTGAATTAGCACCACCACAACACGCAAATAAACTAAAACGAGCGATTTTTCCTTGTCGCATCGGTGCATTTAGTCGATTCCATCGGCCAAATTGCAAACGCGATGGATAGTCGTGGACTTTGACTTACGCGGCTTCATTTGTCTTCTCCTGGCGTAAGGTTTCCCGTAAACTGTCGAGGGACATATGAAGACCGACGAACGGTGGCCGACATCCGTTATCCACGAGTGCCGCCGTTGTGATGAATTATCGGGGTTATTGGTCGCGTTGGTTGATGGAAATGTGTTTTGCGATATGCTGGACTGATGGGCGGGACTGCGAGAACGTGAGGGAAGGGCTGCTCACGCCGCATTGCAGGGATGGCCGTGATAAGCCCTGCCTAGCCTGGTTCATTGGGCCAACCTTGGGACACTAGCTGCGCCTTACTCCACCCGGCCTAGCCCTGCCGTCTGCATCAAAAACTTCTGGATCGCAAGACGCGACGGCTGCGCGAAACAACGACGAGTTATCGACAATGGCAAAGAGAAAGAGAGAGACCGCCGAGAGCGCCGCCAAGGCGAAGGCGCTGAAGAGCTCCAAGGGCGCTGCTGCCTCGACCACAAAACAGCCGGCGACCAAGGAAACGACGATCCGCAATGGCAAGGAAGGTGCAGCCAACGGGAAGATGGACCTGAGCATGAGCAAACTCCAGATCGATTCCACTGCAAAAAGCGAAGATTCCGTCCCAGATGTCACGACTGTGCAAGTCATAACCGGCTCCTACGAGAGAGTTCTGCATGGATTCGCGGCATCCATCCCCAGCAGTCTCTTCACCGGACAGGATGATGCATCGACACCTGAGACGGACAGGCCAAAAGTAGATTTTACCGACACATTTCTTTTCAACGCCCATTCATCCTCCATCCGCTGTCTTGCCCTGTCTCCGCTCTCGAATGAGACGTCCAAAATCACGTTAGCTACAGGCAGCACCGATGAGCGCATCAACCTTTACTCCATCTCGACCGCCCCCCCAGTCGCCTCAAAACTCAGACCAAAGCTGCCTTCTCTCCATGGCGGCTCCATTACTGAGAATCCCAAGAACAAGGAACTCGGCTCATTGCTTCACCACTCGTCAAACATCACAGCCCTCTACTTCCCAACCAGGAGTAAGCTCCTCAGCTCCGCTGAAGACAGCACTATCGCCATCACGAGAACACGCGACTGGACTGCCCTCTCAACCATCAAAGCGCCAATACCGAAGCCCCAAGGCCGACCCAGTGGAGACACAGCCGGACCCGGTGAAGTACCCTCTGGAATTAATGATTTCGCCGTCCACCCTAGCATGAAGCTCATGCTGAGCGTAGGCAAAGGCGAAAAGTGCATGCGACTCTGGAACCTCGTAACAGGAAAGAAAGCCGGCGTGCTCAACTTTGACCGCAACATCCTCACCGCCGTAGGCGAAGGGCGCTTCGCATCCGGTGAGGGAAGACGAGTCATATGGGACAAGGAAGGCGAGGAGTTCGCCGTGGGCTTCGAGCGCGGCATCGTCGTTTTCAACATCGAATCCAAGCCAAAAGCAAAGATTGCACCGACCCCGAGGACTAAGATCCATCAGATGCACTACCTGCCGTCGGAGTCGCATCCGGGCACGCTACTCGTCTCAACCGAGGATGGCCGCGTTCTTCTCTTCGACACGAACACCACGATACCGACTGAATCGTCAGAGAAGAACAAAGATGAAGTTCCTGCTAGCAGATTAGTCGCTCAACTCGGTGGTCCAGCAGCAGGCATGACAGGCCGTGTCAAGGACTTTCAAATCGTCCAGCTCTCGCAAACAAATTTCCTCATCGTCACTGGTAGCAGCGATGGCACAGTGCGCTTCTGGTCCTTGAGCACGGACGAGCTGAAGAGTGATGATGCGGGCAAGGCAGAGGGTTTCACAGCGGCGCAGGTCGGCAAGTTGCTTGGAACCTCTTCGACTGGTACCAGGATTACGTGTCTGAAGGCTTTCTCCATGACGGGCAAGCCAGATGAAGAGGAAGAAGAGGTCGTTGAGAAAGACGCAGAGATGTCGAGTAGCGAGGATGATAGCGAGTAGTTTAGACTTTGAGTTGTAGCATTAATGATACCACCACCTCGTTCTTGCGACTTCATCGCTATGTATCAATTTCATGGAATGCGATCTACTAGCGTCTCGATGCTTATCTAAATTATACAACTTACGTTCTACCTCTCTCTTCAAACTCTGGTCTTTCTACAAATTCATAGTGACGGTCATACTATTACTATGCACCAACAGTACCGGCGGTAAGCCTTGGCACAGGACCTCCAAATCGCTAATGTATTTGACACTCTCTGCCTCACTTTCACAAGTACCCTCAATAGGACTAGGAAGCGTAGTAAACACAACTGCCGTTTCATCAGAATGCTTCCGTATAAGCTCGTTCAGGATAAGATGTTGAGCGCGACACGGTAGGTCGTTGAAGGAGAGAGGGATGGCTTGTTGGGCAGGGAACCCGGAAGCTGGCGAGGCGGTACCCGTGTCAGTAGGTTGGTGAGATGATGCTGCGGCTGAGTGGGGACTGGAATTTGCTGGTGTATTTTCTGCGGCGAGTTGAGAGGGCTCTCCAGATGTCACAATGGGGTCTTGTTTGTTGGCTGTTGCTGGTTTGGGCGTATCGACGAATGTTATCGATGGGCCGGCCGTTTCTTCCGATGATATCGCTGTTCGGGGAGTTGGATTCGATGTGAACTTGGGCAGTGACTGCCGACGCATTGTAGGCGGTTTGACAGCGGCTCGTGAGGATCCAGAGCGCTGAGAGGATGAACTGGCTACACTTTGGGACTGGGCTCGCTCTCCGGCGTGAAGAATAGCTGTGTCAGAGGCAACGGCGTCTGGGTGCGGTTTGAGTGGTGTTACCGACTGTGTGGTCGGTCGGTCATCTTTCTGCGAGGTACTGTCCTTCCGTGAACTTTTCCAAATGGCCTTACGGAGATCCAGCTGCCTGGTGAAGAAAGAGGTGCTGGGTGCCGTTTTGCGTCTTCTTAGTGACATTCTCTGCCCGTTCTGATCACTCTCATCACTCGATGCATCCAAGTCGTATTCGTCGAAGTTGCTGCCACTAACGACTGCCTCGCTATCAGAAGCCATTGCTTCGTCATCAGCATCGTCTTCCCTTCCGCCGGCTGAGGATGGTTGAGTGTCGCTATCGCTGTCTTCAAGTAGCTGGACTGGTATTCTTTGGCTTTGCATTTTGGCCCTTGCCCCGTCCCCAAGATTGCCAACAGACGTTCTACTTTTTGCTTTACGTAGCATCTTGCGCAGGGCTGAGAAGCGCTTTGGGTTCGTCTCTTGCCTACCATGTTGGAACGAGGCAATAGGCCAACTGGTGACGGCTTCAAGAATATCGACAGTCTGTGCTAGTTCCTGGCTCGCACTCAAACTCTCGGGCTGACGCAGTCGTTTGATGTCTTGCCACCATCGCTCGTCTTCCAGCGAGTAATCGATATCACGACCAGTCTGATCAAGGTGACCATCATCTCTTCCGTTGATGATGACTTCATACATGCTCAAATCTCCGGAGGACAACCAGAAGACGTAGACTTCAGCCTCAATGCGCAGATTACGCAGCAATGTAGTAACGCGACTTCGCTCTTCCTCGACGTCCGTCTCATACTCCACAAAAACACAGACTCTCAACTTGTACATGCGCTTCCAAGACGGTACCGTGTGTAAGATGCATCCAAGCTGCAGGATGAGTGTATACGTGTCGAAATTCGTGGTCAGTACATTCTTGCGGATTGGCTCATCGCCAGTAGTAGCGACCTCGGCTGACATTTGAATCGGCCAGAGATCAATGTACTTCTTTGACGAATCCTCGATATCAATGTCATTAAGACCAATGAAGCTGAACGCTTTTTGTTTCACCGTAGGCTTGGTAGGGGGCACCTCGAGTTCCTGGAACCCCTTGCCTATAGCGACATTTGCTTGCAACCGGAGAATCAGGTCTTCGATAACAGTGACATAACTGCGTATAGCAATTGCGTTTTCTGGTTTCATAGCATCGGTGGGAAGCATGCTATGGGTGTTTCCTGTGACGCGTCGCCTGGCTGCTGCTTGGATTGCTTTCCGAGAGATGGGATGGTTCGTAGCTTTGCTGGATGGGCGTGATGGTTGGGGCGAAGGTATGCCAATGGAAGGCTGCGCTTGCCTCATCTCGGGTAGGTTGTAGAAGCCCATGACAACTATGTTTGGCCGCATACCACCTAGCCCTGCACCCAGAACAAGGTTGCGAGCGCCCCACTCGACGGCAGGAGATATAGAGATGTTCACGAACGCTTTGATCCTGGAGAAGTCGATATACTTTGTCCAAGACTGCTGTTGTCGTCTTGCTTCTGGCACAGCTTCCCCGAAGTCATCAGAGACAATGACGTGCCCAAGTACGAAGAGACCTCCCTTCTTCAGCGAATTGCAGAATTGGATCAATTTATACTGCCGCCGCGGATCATTGACCAAGAGTAAGATCTGGGGTCTCCAGAACTTGACATGCTCTTGACGCAAGCGCAGCAGGTACTTTCGCACTTGGTGATAGATGAGACCCTGACTCACATCACCCCATGGCTTAGGTGGGGTAGTGTAGTGAATCAGCAGGAAGATAATCATGAGCAGAGCTACACATCCAGATGCATAGAAGCCGTCGACGAAGAACATGGTACCTCCACAGACAACCGTCCCAACAGCAGCTGTGGGCCAGTTGAAGTAGTGGAAGGAGGGCCGGAAGTTTGGGGCAGAACCGATCTTGAGTAAGAAACAGGCCAAGTTGGTAACGAGAAATGTCATGAGATACTAGAGAATGTTAGGATTTAAACAGATAGAGTTTGACTGACGACTGGTAGAGTAATAGGGAGCACTTACCGTCATTGTGATAAATGAAGCAATCTGGTTGATGTCGGCAAACATTGTGATCTGAGCGATGATAAAAGTGATGATGATGGCGTAGATCGGCTGTGCAGATGAAGCTACGTGGTTAGTATGGACATAGCAAAGATAATGTAGACATCCTACCTCATCGGATTTCTTCGTGCCCTGTCCAAAGATCGAAAGTCCAGGAATAAGATTGTCGCGAGAAAGAGCCTGGAGGAGCTTGGCTGAACCAATAACACCCATGAGTACCGAGAATAAGGATGTCGCCATCTCGCCAGCAAGC